GCTAAAATTTGGGTTTGTGACTGCTTTGGGAAGTGTACTGACAGATTAAGGCATTGGCATCTTTTGGTGCATTTCTAATGGAATTATTTGACTGTACATTTTATTGACGCAGCTTGTTAACCAAGGTTGTTAGCATTACCAGTTAACTTTGTCCATCACTTTCTCCACAAAACCAACATGGCAGAGATCTTCCACTACCTCAATTCCACTTACCTTACCGTGTAGTGTTGCAGCACCAGCTTCTGTCCTGGGCTTGTGCATCGATGCAATCATAGTCCACTGGTTGGTGTCAGGCTCATATCGTTCTGCAGTTTTCAGTTTCTTTTGTTTTTGGCACCCTCCCATAGCATATATGCAGCCATTCAGTGTGGCCACACTGAGAAAGCCCCGCTCTTCATGCATCGAGCCCACCTCTGTCCAGGTTTGGCTGGTGAGGCTGAACCTTCTCACATGACTTGAATAGCTTATGAAATCAAAACCTCCGATGCAATAAATACATCCATTGAGGTAAGCACAACCGTAGAATCCCAGAGAAGCATTGTGTCTCCAGCTCAGCGGCACCCAGTGGTCAGCTCGGACATTGTACAACTCAATCTTGTCACTTGGGAAATGACTCACCCATCCACCAACGGCCAATAAGACTTCAGACGGCAGGCGTGTTTGGGTCAGAGGTCTCTCCATATTGGACTCATTTAGCATCTGTATGGCAGTGGTTACCATATTCATGCATGCCGGACTACTACTCACCAGATCATTTCTGCTCACAGTGTCAACCAAGTACTCAGTGGGCATTAATAGTAAGCGGACCTGGATGAAAACAAGAATCATAAGGGAAAAAGGCAAGAAATACAACATTAGACTGTATATAAGAGTTGGACGTAGCCACCATGCCACCACCCATTAGTGAAGTATAGCACTATCTCTATAATCAAAATGTCATGGAATCACCCAGATAGCTATGGTAGCTCCTGGCATCGCCTCCAATCAGCTGTGGCATTGCCCTTAAAGACCCTAACATTACCTGTAAAGAGCCACAGCATCACCTGCCAAACAGCAATGGCAGGTCATGGCATTAGCTCCAAACAAGCAGGGGTGCCACAGTCAAGTGTCAATGCCATTATCTAAGCACTGAGTAACCTCCTGCTGTAGAAACAGGTCCCACAATGAGGGTGTGTCCTGTTGTAAATGCCTAAGGACCAGTCAGTAAGTTCTGGCAGAACACTATGGGCATAGTCAACTTTTCTGTCAGAAAAGCTAAAGTGCAGTTCAGACAGATTATCAATAATGCACTTCTGAAACTACAAAACAACGGCCAGTTTTATCTGGACGCAAGTGTAAATAATACTTTGACAATTTATTAAGGACTAAATGATGAGCACCTTCTGATGCACACTCCCAAGTGAATTAGAAATAGCCCCCCCCCCCACCCCCAATGTGATTAAGAATGAAGAAGAATGATTTTCCTACATTAACTCTATTACCAAGCCTTAAGTTTGAGTAATTTTGCCATTGCAATTTTAGCTTTTTACACGTCAGCCGTAAAAGGCTGATGGGTGAGCAGGTGGGCGGCCTGGACACCCAACTCTGTAAACACAATAGTGTACAATCAAACTTCTTTTTTTGCATCAGGCATCAAGCTTATGCTTTATTTTTTATTCCTAATTCAAAGTGCTACAGCGGAAGTTACTTTCTATACTTTCAAACTTTACCATTCATTCAACAGCCCCTCACTGAGTAATAAACAAAATAAATGCACTTAGAGGAGGAATTAAATTGATATCCCATTTTCAGTTACCTGCTTGAGCAGTGCGGGCATGTCACACCCACGTTCCACAGGGGAATAGTTGATCCATCTGAGAATGGCCTCAAACACAGTGCTCTCCTGCTTCACATTGAGCTCATCCTTCTCGATAAGATCTGATAGTTGCTGCACAGAGAGCTGCAGGAACTCCAAGGAGAGTGCACCAACCTCTTCAAAGTGATGGAGGATATAGAGATAGGCCTTTCCCCTGAGGTCAGGACAGTTGTGTAAGTGTGCCAGATTGCAGATACTGACGCAGTTATTTACACAAAGCTTCCTCTCCAGGAAGTCGCAGCAGGCTTGAATGACGCCAGTCACGATAAAGTTGTCTGCTTCCACCAACAGCTCCAGTACATTGTCCTCCGTCACCACAACAGATTGGGTATAGGCATATTCCAAAATGAGCCTCATTACTTTTGGAGACACAGTGGGGAAGTTGTAGACCTTGTTTGATGGTAGTGGTTTGTAGCAGAAGAGATCCCTGTGCAGATTCAGATCA